GGATGCCGGGGGTCGGGCGGGCGCGGGGGTTGTTTCCGGGGTCCGGGGGTCGGGGCCCCCGCGGGAGGGGGTCCGGGGGTGAGATCCCGGCCCCGGCTTTGCCCCCGGGGGTCCCCGGGTGACAACCCTGCCATAAATCCTCGTCCCTCTGCCCGGTCCGCTGCCCGCCGAGCCGTGTATGTCCTTACCTCGGCATCATTGGCCTCCTTTTGCGTCTCGTCGATCTCGCTCGGGATGGGCAGGGCAGGGTCATCTACTCCCTCGGGTGTGGGCTCCTCATCCGAGTCATCGTCCCTGGGGTACGGACGGAAAATGCAAGCACGTCTCTCAAAAATGGCATCAGCGGATGGCGGTGCAGAAGACCCGATGGGATCGCGCGTAAAAAGCGCAACCTGCTCTGCAATCTCCGCCGCCGTCATCCCCTGGCGCGTGCCCGTGCGCACCGGCTCAACCTCCAATCCTGCCTGGCAGTCCAACATCCTCTCGTTGCGCTGCCATGGCAGCACGTAACCGCATCCTGCCCGCCAATACTCTGTCAGCCGCACATTTGCGGTGATCTCAACGAGCTGCATGACCTTCTCAAAGGCCAAGTTGTTACGCTTCTTCGTGTGGATGCCCTCGTGGACTGCCCAGTTCCTCTCCGCTGGAAAGGCGCAAGACCACATGTGCATCACACGAAGAGCGCACCGCTGCAACTCAGGGGCGCGAACCCCGTACTGGGACCACCAAGACGCGCACTCGATCGTCTCCGTGTCACCGCTACACGCGCGCCCACGAGCACGCCCCTCCGCCCCGTCCCAATCACGAAACCTGCCCTGCTGCATGTGGAAGTCCTCGAACTGCCGGCAGGCCTGGAGGTACTCCGCACCCTCCAAATCGAAACCCGTCTGCATCAGAATGTACCTCTTGGCTTGTCTCATAAGCCAAGCATGGTACTCCTGCACCTTACTGGAAAAATATCAAACATGTCGCCTGCGGGGGTTCAGTAAGAACCCAGCACAGTGGGCCGGCTCTAGCATGTGCTGTGAGCGTGCCTGCACACGCCTGATGATCCAGTCTGCGATCGAGGACCCCAAAGGAGCGCATGCCTCCTTCACCCACTGCACAAGATCATGTGCCCACTCGAGCACGAGAGACATGAACTGCCCTCCACGATCCATCCGTCGGAGCAACTGCATCACGGGCTCCATGATATGGACGATGGTGGCCACCCTCTGCCACCAAGGATCCCATCTGATCTGTCGGCGCACCCAACGTGCCATGTAACAAACATCGACAGACCACGGGATGGAGGCAAAAACCCGCGCGTCATCCCCTCGCATCATGTCTTGCAAAGTGTCCTGCAGGGCCATGAGCCTCTCCAACATGGAGTACACAGACGCAAACCGCGCCTCGCATGAAAGAACAAGACCGAGGTTGGGGCTGCGCTTCCTAAAAAAATGAAGGGCCGCCTGGTGGGTTTTGAAAAACACCACCAGCACACGAGCGCGTGTGATAGTATCAATAAACGCGTCGCAACACGTCTCCATGTCTGACAACAATTTGTTGCAGACATGGACCGAGCATGGGAGCCAAGTGATCCTCCTCAATGCTGCAGGCATGGTCTCTGAGGTCAGAGCCCTGGCAGCCCCAACGTACACTGACGCGGAGTCAGTGCATATCGCATTGATCCGCTGCGGCCCGCCGAACCTGAACTCGTGGGAAATGGTTACCCATCTCCGAAGGACGTGCACAACATCGTCCGGCTCCCCCTCTCGATTGATCGCCGCGTACATGACGACCCCTCGAGAAACCCTGCGGCAAGGAAATTAACGATCGGTCTCCCGTCTCGTGATTTCCTCCCGTCTGAGAGGATGGTGGCGCCAGTCACCCAAAATGGTTGCCTCACCTCCTCCAACTCCTCGGCCAACTCCGCACGGTGCATCTCCACTACCTGCATGCTCACAATCTCGCTGTGGCTAGGGAGCACAGCGTGCGGCGAACTGCCAGGCTGCTGAAGAAGCACCTGCTGATATGCCCTTCATGCCTCATTGCGAAAGGCATTGAAGGAAACCCCGCTGGAATAAAGCCAGCGAAGGAAGACCTTCTTGTGGCGAGCAACCCACTCGCCATCGTACACGTCATCCACCTTCTGTTGTCTAAGCCTCTTTCCAGCTTGAGTGGTAGCCGGAACAGCTCCCCCTTCCTTCCTCTTGGAAGAACCCTCCCCCGTCGGTTCCTGCACAGGAGGCTGTTGCCCCTCGCCCCCTCGCCGCTGTCAGTCCACAATCCTCTCCCCCGTCAATGGATCGAACTCGGGCTGATCCTCGTGTCCCGGGAATCCCTCCCGGGTCATGCCACGTGCCTCGCGATCGTCGATGATCACGTCCCCCTCGATGCCACCGCTGCAAACCTGGAAATCCTCTCCATCTAGTCGGCCTCGAACTTTAGTTGAGTCCGTTTTTCGATCTCGTACAAGGCCTCATCAGTGACGGCCTTGCAGTAATTGGTCTGCACGAAGTGCCTGGTTGCCTGGAATAAAGTCCCCTGGAATACTTTGTTGCAAAATGTGCAACGCAGCATCATCACCCCCTTGTTGTCGACCTTCTGGCCGACGACAAGGTACCGATACACAGGGGACCTTACCCTGAACGTGTCCTGCACATCTTGAGAAGCGGGCTCATGCTCGCGCCGCTGTGCCCTCCCCATCGTGAGTGTCCCGTTCGCCGCTGTGAACCTTCGACCCGAAGACCTGTCGACCTTTCGAAATGAACCCTAGAAACCACCCAACACAACCTTCCCCTTCCCCGGCCCGTGCACCTGTCGTGCCTGCCCCAAACCCCCCTGCTTCCACCGCAACACCCCCCAAACACCCGCCCGACCCCGCCGCCCGACGCGAAGAGGCCCCCAAACGGCCGTTAAATCGCGTTAAATCGCATTAAACGTGATTTGACGCGTTTAACGTCGTTGAACTAAAAATTCAACGGCGTGAAATCACTCCGTGCGCCGAGGTGCGGAACAGCCGTCATTGTCCCCGCCGCCGCAACAGTCGTTCCCGCCACGCTGCGATCTTCGTCTCCGTTCCAGCAGCCGCTCCCGCTGCTCCTCTCTCTCTCTCTCTCTCTCTCTCTCTCTCTCTCTCTCTCTCTCTCTCTCTC